GTTGGTGAGAGTGTAAAATGATGCAACCACTATGGAAGGCAATATGGCACTTTCTCAAAAAGTTGCAAATAGAAATACCTAAAAAAAAAAAGAAATACCATTTGACCCACAATTCCACTACTGGGAATATACCCTAAAGAAACCATAACCACCACCGTAGCAGATATATGCACACCCATGTTTATTGCAGCTTTGTTCACAATAGCAAAGAGCTGGAAACAACCCATCAACAAATGAATGCATAGAGAAGCTGTGGTATATTCACACAATGGAATACTATGCAGCATTGAAAAACAAGGAACTTCTGAAATATTATACAAAATGGGTGACCCTGGAGGATATTATGCTGAGTGAAATATCTCAGTCACAAAACGACAAATACTGCATAATGCCACTATTCTAGAACAGGACTGACATGGGAGTTGGGGGAAACCTAAGAAAAAAAGGGGATAAATAATGTACACTATATTGAAAGAAATGAGGGAAAGAACTGCTTAAAAGGTATATATGATTCGGTATTATTTGCATGACAACAGTGCACAATAAAAGCTGAAAAGTAAAGTGGGTGGGAGGTTGTACAAAATGAAAGAACTTTTTTTCAAAGAGAAAAGAGAAGGGGGGAGGAAAATGTGCAATAGTGAATGAATGATAATCCAAGTTCTCTATTAACTTTCATTAAAATCTCAACCAAAAAAAGGAACGAAAAAAAATAAGCTTTTCTCTGAAACAAAAACTCTGATTCTTCAGCAAAAAAATTCAGTAAGACACTTTGAAGTCATCTTCATATTATGACTCGGAAAATAATACACTATTCATTGTTGATCTTGGAGATATGTCTTAGAGAAAGCGCAGCCAGAGCACTCCTTGGAAGAAAGATGAAGCTTTGTTTCACATACTTCAGGCATGTGGTGAGGAGAGGTCATTCACTGGAGAGAGACATCATGCTTGGGCTGGTGAAGAGTTGGCAAAAGACCCTCAGCCAGGTAGAATGACACTGTGACTGCAGCAATGGGCTCAAGGGTGTTAGAGACTGAGGACAGCACAAGATAGGACAGGGTTCAGATCTGATGTTTACAGAGTTGCTATGAGTCATACTCAATTTTATGGCACCTAACAACAACACTGTTAAGGTAAATCATTTGCCATTATCTATACTATCCCAACAATAAACCAACCTGCCTTTGAGTCAATTCTGACTCATTATCACCCTATAAGACTGAGTAGAACTGCCCCTGAGAGTTTTCTGAGGCTTTAATTTTTGCAGAAGTTGCTTCTGTCAAACAGAGTGGTAGTGGGTTCAAACTGCTGTTTTTCTGGTTAGCAGCCAAATTCTTTAATCATTGCACCACCAAGGCTCCTATATCCACACTATCCTTGTAGCGTAAAGTCAGAAACAACCCATAGGTGACCTTCCAGAGGATTTTCAGAAGCAGTTAATCTCATGGAAGGAGATTGCCCATCCTTCTCCCCCAGAGAAGCTGGTGGTTTCAAACTATGTTCCTTTGGGATTTCAGTACAACTTCTTGTTCCTAGGCCACAAGAGCTCCCTATAGTATGTAATAACTGGACTATTAGAGACAAAACCCATTAAAAAAACTCCTAACACATGTTTAAAAAAAAATGAAGTGATATATGAAAATAAGAGTACAGCTATATGGCAGCCCCTTCCCTGTGGGTCTCTCATAGCATTCCATACCAGAGTAAACTGTACTCCAGAACCACTGCCTGGCCTCCTTGTTCACAGGCTGCAGGCCTGAAACTGGCTGCACAGTGGGAGATGAAGGGGGAAAGAATATATCTATAAAAACTTTCAACAGGAAAAAAGGCATAAAGGCAAGTCAGTTTTCTGCTCTAAGTAAGCAAAGGAATGTACACATATAAATGTGTAACTTTCCTTTTATAATTTCCTGAAACCATAAGCAAAAATGTAATTGGAGATCTTGAGGTGGAATCTCTAGCCTCCCAAAAAGAAATATGTTTGAGACATCATTTCAAACATATCCAAATGAAAGAGAAACATTTCATACATGCAAGGCATCTGATACCAAGGATCACACACAAGCATCTGTACCACAGTATTATTGTCCACCAAATGCCAAGGGGACAACCACTCCCCAGCCCAACTCGAGGCCATTCCCTGGTAAGTAGTCCCACATATTAGGTTCTCTATTCCTTCTCCTGCTATCATACTTGATAACATATTCAACACACTATCTGTTCTTTAACCTCCTATTACATTCAATAACCTATATATACTTCCATTTCTCTTCAACAGCACCAAAAGTGTTAGTTGTTATTTTTTTGTCTTTATTTAAAATACTATACTCAAGACTGTCCCGTTCTCTCATACTACCAAACCTGGTCTTAAATATTTCTTGTTGTCTCACTAATCTAGTATATCAGGCCCCCTGAAGGTTTTATTTCTTACAACTCCAGTTTCACTCACTCATTCATTGCCATGGAGTTAGAACCAACCCTGTTCTGGTTTTCAGAGGCTATAAATTACAAAAGAAGATTTCTCGTCTTTCTCCTGTGGAGTCACTTCTGGATCCAGACCACCACTGGATTATCAACACAATTTCTTATACACTATACCATCACAGCCCAGTTGAGACATTCTTAATCTCTCATCCCACAATATGCTGAAAAGTGTAAAACCCATACTACTGGATCTAACAGCAAATATATTATCTAATTTTAACTGGGCTTTCAATATGATCAGGAACCTCCTTTTTCTTTTTTGTCATATTTCATCCAACCCCCTTTCACTTTCTGTTGAAGATTTACATGGCCACAACATCCAAGCCTGAAATAATAAGTTAGTCTCCAGAAATAACTGATAAAATAACTGATCACATAGAGAAAATAAAGCCGTCAGTCACCTTTCTTACCTTCTACCACATCATTAACATTTTTATCTCTATTTTTTTGGTGGCTGTTGTTTGTTGTGGGGTGCTGTCAGTTGGAACCAACTCATAGTTGACCCTCCCTAGAGTTTTTATAATTGCACAGAAGGATACCATCCATTTATTCCCCCTTGAGGAGCAGTGAAAGGATTCAAATTGTGTGCCTCTAGGACTGCAGACTGTTAGCTTCTTCCCACTAACCCATCAGAGCTCCCTCAATCTTCGAAGTTAATTTTCAACCGTACTAAAAATATATGCTCAAGTGGAAAGAAAAGGTTTCAGAGCAAGAGGGACTATGTTCAAATCTTTGTCTACAGCTTTCCCAGCTATAAAAGATCCTGAGAACTAAATCCCAACGTTGTGACCTTTTTTTGGTTGTTATTGTACTCAATCCCGAAGGCACAAGGTTCAAAGCCACCAGCTGCTCTGCAGGAGAAAGACAGGAAATCTCCAGTGCCAGCGGCCAGAGGGTTGGCAATGGGTCAGTTCAGACTCTACAGTACACAACAGTGTCAATAAAGATTAGTTGTACTACAGCTGCATTCCTTCTGGACCACTTATCAAGAATCACTCTGCCATTTACTCCTTAATCCATCACAATCTAACTACTACCATCATTACCATCAATACATTATCTTAATTGCCTTTCAAAGTTAAGAAGTGACTTCTTGTTAAGTCTAAAGGCCCCTTCCTAATCTGCATTCTCCCTGAGCTTTAAAGTACCTGACAGGGATCATCTCCCTTCCCTTTGTGAAATCTTTTCTTCTTTGGCTTCACCATAATGCCATCCTGTTCTAGTTCTTACCCCTTTCTTTTTATCCTCTTTCTCAGTGTCTATTACCCTTCAAACAATGATGCTCCTTCTGTAGCATAGTTCTTCTCTTCTCTCCTTTCAGTATTAACACCTCCTACTAAGGCTTCAAATATCACCTATATATTCTCTCTTGACTCACAAACCATGTATCCAGTTGCAACTTTCCTCCAAATTTCTAGTTATCCAGTGATACCAGAAATGCACTTCACACTCAGCTTGTCCATAAGCAAATTAATTGTTGTTAATTATCAGAATGGATTTTTACTCTTGAAGATTGTGGCTTTATGGAAATTAATCTCCAGGCTTTATTTCTGAAGTGCCCTTGGGTGGACCCGAACCATCAACCTCTCAAATTAGTAGCACTGTGATCAACCATTTTCACCACCCTGAAATGCCCTCAAAACTTCTCTACAACAGCTTCTCTATGTTCCCTTTTTCAAATAATACTATCAATCTATCCCATCAGCCAAATCAGAAATCTCTAATCCTCTCGGATCACGGTTTTTCAAACCTCTTGGCAATGTGTGCCCCTGTGTCACTTTCCTAGTTCATCTTCTCACGTGTATTAACAAACCAGTTTACTGTGTGGGCTTCCTGCCCTTCACTTTCAATTCACTTTGCTTCCACTAAAGGCAATTCAAACTCCTGCTTACAAAACCATCAATGGCTCCCCGTACCCACTAGAACGAAAGTCTAAATTCTGTAGCAAGGGTTTTCTTTAGGAGTTTACATGGAAATTAGACAAACCTGGGCTTCATTTCTGTAGTCTGGAAGCTACTGGCTTAGTCTCTAAAGTGAAGGATGAAAAGCAGAGCAGGGAAAAGGAGTAAACAGGGAAACAAGTGTCGGAGGTGGGAGAAGTATCTTCAGAGGGTAGAATGGATGTTTTTGAGAGAAGTAACCTGAGGGAAGAGGAGGCACTGAAAACAGGGAAGTCTCTGAAACGGGAGGGGTTTTTTTTCCCGGGAAACTGAAGGCTTCCTAGTCTGAGATGAGGAAAGTCATTAACAGGAGTCGGAGACCAGGTCTCAGACGGAGAGAACTTCTAACGAGTTCCCGGCCTTTGACCGAAGGAAGTCGAGGGCCTGTCCTGAGACCAAGAGGTAAGTGGAGACTCGGGGAAGGCGGCCAAGGAGAGAAGTGTAACCTCTGGGAAGTAAGGGGGTCCTGTCTACTCAGGGATCCGAGCGCCAACAGTCCGCGGCCGCGGCGAGGGGAGCAGGTCCGCGCACGGGCCAGGGTGCCCCGGCTGTGTGCCTCACGAGCTCTGCTGGCGTTACCTGAGGCAGGACACGGCAGCCAGAGAGGTCCTTCAGAGGACTGGAGCAGGAAGCTGCAGCAAATAGAGAACATAGTAGCCCTCACAGCTCGGTGGCGGCGGCAGTTCCTCAGCCTGCAGAGGTGGCGAGGGTCCCTCGCGAAAAAGCTGGCGACTCGGCAGAGCTAGAGGCGACGGAAGGCGAGAAAGCTACTGCCATGGCCCCGTAGTCGGGGCTGCTTCCTCCACCTATTTGACGGGGTCAGGAGGATAGCTGGCGAGAGACACAGGGTCGACACAGTAGTCTCCGATAAGCTCGCGGCCCGCGAGCGACTGAAACTCCAGTCCAAAAGGGTTAGGGAGCTGAGGGCGGAGCCTTGCTGAGACACGCCCCTCTTCTTATGCTATCCCCCAAGAAGAGCCAATCAACCGTCAATCCTGCATAAACTAGCTGGTGAAATTGCCCAATTAGCGTTAGGAATGCCACGTGGTATAGGAGGACACAATGGGCGTCCAGAAAAGCCAATCAACATCCTGAGGCGCCAACTCCGGAGGACGAAGGGAACCAATAAGAAGGAAATAGAGGTAAAACAGAAGGGGCTGTGTGTTGGAAAGACGGAACCAAGGAGGAGGGGAATACACCTGGGGAAATCCCGATCCAGTAACCTCTTAGAGGGCAGGACAGTAAACATAACATAAACCAATGAAAATAGCAGATACAAAGCGATTGGTAACTTATCAAGCCAATTGAAAATTAGCTAGACTGGCGCGGCTTTTGGGCTAGTGTAAGCAAGTATCACAACCTCACTTGCTAAAAAGTTAAGAAGACTTGAAATATTTGCTGCATAAGATCAAAGTCTACAGCCTTAACTTATTAATTACTTCTCAATATCAAGAAAACAGAAACCCTAAACACTAGACTAATAGGCAACATCATGATGTTGCTGCTATATGCCCTCTAGTAAAGCGACTCATAGAGAAACTATGTAAGACAGCCTTAAACCCTGCTCTATCCTTTGCCAACCTTATTGTCTCTGACACACCTACTCCCATTACCCCAGACGTTGAATCAATCCATCTCATCGAGGATCTTTCTCTCTTGCACTGTCCCTCCACTTTCCCGAGCATGAAGTCCCTCTCCAAGAACTGTTCCCTCTCCAAGGACTGGTCCCTCTTTGCAACATGTCCAAAGTATGTCAGATGAAGCTTCAGAATCCTTGCCTCCAAAGAGCAGCCTGGCTTCACCCTCTCCAGGATGAACCTGTTTATTCTCTTAGCCATCTATGGTATATGCAATACTCTTCTCCAACACCAGAGCTCAAAGGCATCAATTCTCCTTCTATCATCCCTAATCTTTATCCAGCTTTCTGACGCATAGCAAGTAATGGCAAAGACCATAGCCTGAATCAGGCGCACTTTAGTCTCCAGATTGACTTCATTGCTCTTCAGTACGTTGTAGAGGTCAGCAGATTTTCCAAATGCAATTAGTCTTTTAACTTCCTAGTTGCTGGTTAGAGTGTTGATTGTGGAGCCCAGCATACTGAAGCTGTTAACAATTTCAATCTCTTCATCGTTTTATCATGATGCTGCCAATTGGCCCAGTCATGAGAATCTTTGTTTTCTTGATGTTGTGTTTCAATCTATACTGGAGACTGTAGTCCTTGACCTTCTGCAACATGTGCTTCAGGTCCTCCTCAGGTTCAGCAAGCAAGATTGTGTCATCTGTGTAATGCAGATAGTAGATGAGTCAATGAAGAAAAGATTGAAACTTTCAATTATTTCATCTTGCTTGGATCCACAGTCAACACCTTTGTGTTGACAACATTGTGAATATAGTTGATTCCATGACACCTAACAACAAAGTAAAATAGAGTAAGTAATAATTTAATGTCTGCTGTGTCCTGCAGGATCTCAATACTGGAGTGAGTGGTGAGGGGCTGAGCCTATACATAATTGTTATTAGGTGCCATCTAGTCAACTATATGTCATAGTAACACTTACGAACAGTAGATCCAAATCTTGCCCTATCTTGCACAATCTTCACCTTTTCTGTTTTGCTAGAACCTAGTACAGTCACTCTGTCAATCCACCTCGCTGAGGATCTTCCTCTCTTTCTCTGACCCTCCACCTTTCCCAGCATGATGAGATGTTTTTTTCCCCCTCAAGAAAAAACAAACAAACATGGACTGGCCTCTCCTGATAACATGTCCAAAGTATATGAAACAAAGTTTCACAATCCTTGCATTATGACAGATTAATTGATATTACAACAATTCGTTGTACTTGGATATCTCTATCATGATGCAGACTATTGGTCTATTAGTGAGAATTTTTGTTTTCTTAATGTTGAGAAGTAATCTATATTGAACGCTGCAGTCTTTGACCTTATGCAGCAAGTATTTCAAATCTTCTTCACTTTCAGCAAGCAAGGTTGTGTTATTTGATTAATGCAGATTGTTGATGAGCTTTCTCCAATCCTGATGCCACATTCTTCTTCATATGGTTCAGCTTCTCAAATGGTTTGCTCAGCATATAGATTAAATAGGTATGGAGAAAGGATACATCTGATGCATAGCTTTCTGTATTTTAAACCATGCAGTGTTTCCTTGTTCTGTTCCAACAATAACTTCTTGGGCTAGCTACAGCTTTTTTATGAACACAATTTCATTTTCTGGGATTCCCATTCTTCTCAAGTTTATCCATAGTTTGTCATTATCCATACAATCAAATGTCTTTGCATAGTCAATAAAACATGAGCAAACCTCTTTCTGGTATTCTCTGCTTTCAGGCATGAGCTATCTGACATCAGCAATGATAGTACTCATTCCACAACCTCTTCTGAATCCAGCTTGAATTTCTGGCAGTTCCCTAATGATTTACTATTGTCAAAACCTTTTTTTAATAATCATTAGCAAAATTTTATTTGCCTATGTTATTATTTGGTAATTTCCCCATTCTGTTAGATCACCTTTTGGGGGATAGAGAACAAGAATCAATATCTTCCAGTTACTTAGATGACTGACTGGAAGAGATCCTCTTCACTTCTTCTTATGTATTGTCAAGTCAGAATTGACTCATAACTGACCTTTCACTGTGTTTTCAGAGACAATAAATCATACAGGAGGAGACTGTTCATAATTCTCCCATGAAGTAGCTAGTGGATTCAAACTTCATGTCTCTGTGTTGGCAGTACAGCTCCTTACCACTATGCTACCAGTGTTCACTCCTCTTCACTAAAGACTTGAAATAGTAAGGAAGTACTGATGGCCTAGTCAGTAGGGTGTTGAGCAGCTAATTCGAAGACTGTGCTTCACTGGCTGTTGGAATCTATCAGCCAGAGAAAAAGCTGGACAGTCTCTTCCCTTTATGGTTCACGGACTCTGAAACTGACAAGGAGCTGTTAAGAGTCAGAACCAATTGGTAGTAAATGAGTGAACCAATGGTAACATTAAATGAAATGCTTAGGAAATAATTCACCTAGACTCCAAGTTTAAATGCTGTGAAGTCTTCATAGAAAAGGTAAGACTTGAGTTGGCTTGAATATATAATATTTTAAAGAGCTGAGTGTTTAAAAAATATATATCTGGGTTAGCAAATAAGAATTCTAACTGTTCAATAAGCACATATTTCCTCCTGCATTCCTTATGCCCAGGCCTCAGGAGTTATAAGTTCATCCCTGGGCCAGGACAAGGGCCTTAAAAGCAAGGGCAAGTAAGGACAGTTATACTATGGCACTAGTACTCCTCGAGGATGGAGACCTCCAGACATCTTTAAAATTCCTGCACAGAAGAAGAAAGGCGTGGGCTTGCAAAGACGAGGGAGATCTGAATAAGTTGGAGTGTAAGTGCTGTGCATTCCTAGTGACAAAAAAGTTTGGGAAAGATGTGTGGTAGGAGATTAGGAAGAAAAGATAAACACTTGCTTGTTTATGGGTTGAGCTTAAATACCTCTTTTGTCCTTTTTTCCTTTATGCTGTGAGAGCTATCCAAGGTTAGTTAGCAGAAGTAACCTAAGTACAACACTATTATAAGTTTAGTAAGCTTGTAGGATGCTAAACTGAAGGGCCTAAAAAGAAATCACCAGTGCTCACTTTGGCAGCACATATACTAAAATTGGAACAATACAGAGAAGATTAGCATGGCCCCTACACAAGGATGACACACAAATTCGGGAAGCATTCCATATTAAAAAAAGAAAGTTATATTTCTATTTCATATGAAGCTTTGACTTCTTAGATTGTAGAATTAAAAAAAAAATACCATATTTAAAAAAAAAAAAAAAGTCACCTCAGTCCAAACTCTTAGGCCAGGGACACTTCAATACTATCCTGGCAACAAATCATGTGCTGCCACCTGGTGACAAGTCAAATATCATGGTTCCACATTGCTATTTAATGTTTATGTTGTTAGAGCGCTGGCACGCCTTACTCCCAGAAATCTGATACCAAATAGGTGATAAATAGAGGACTAGGTTTGTTGTTAGTTCTGACTTACAGAAATTCTATATATAACAAAACAATACACTGCCTCATCTGGAGTTACTCACATTCACGATATGTTTAAGCCTATCATATAGCCACTCTCATTGAAGGTATTTCTTTTTTTGCTGAACTTCTACTTTATCAAGCACAATGTTGTTCTCCAGGGACTGGCCCCTCCAGCTAACAGAATATTAGTGTGAAGCAGAAATCAATAATGCACAGTGCCAGATGATTACCTGTCCAGTGAAAGATGTAAGAGGGGGCTCCTTGCAGCTCCTTCAGCAAGAAGGTGGCTCTTGATGAAAGATTTTAATATTTTATTGTGTTTTCAGTGAGTTTATACCACAAATGGGAGTGTTTTGGTGTTGTATGTTGGTTTTTCTTTGTTTTTTTCAAATAGGGTCTGTTTGTGCAAGGTCTGATCTTTACAATTTCAGCCTCCCACTGCTTTAGGGAAAGAACCAAATACTTTTCCAGAGCTATTCAAGAGTCAAGTCTCACACTCGATGAACTAACTATCAGATACACTACACAACTGAAGGTAGTTCCTGTGTGCTTTGTTGTTATTATTGTTGTTATGTGCTATCGAGTCACTTGCGACTCATAGAGACCCTATGGACAACAGCCCTAAACTCTGCTCTATCCTGTGCCAATCCCACTGCCTCTGACACACCCATCCTGATTACCCCAATCACTGAATCAATCCACCTCGTAGAGGGTCTTCCCCTCTTGTGCCGTTCCCTCCACCCTCCCAAGCATGATGTCCCTTCTTACATTTCCAAAGTATGTCA